AAGTCTTTAAAAATCTAGTGCTTAGGGGCTGGCCGAGTGGCCGAGTGGTTGGGTTCGCGCGCTCCGCTGCAGGTGGCCCAGTGTTTCGTTGGTTCGAATCCTGGGCACAGACATGGCACTGCTCATCGGGCCATGCTGAGGCAGTGTCCCACATGCCACAACTAGAAGGACCCACAATGAAGAATGTACAACTATGTACCGAGGAGCTTTGGGGGGAAAAGGAAAAAAATAAAATCTTTAAAAAAAAAAAATGTAGTGCTTATGTCATCATAATGATCAAGATTTATTAAGAATTTATTATCTTACAGGCACTATGCATGGATAATTTCATTTGATCTTCATGATAACCCTATGATAAAAGTACTATTATTGCTCCTTTTGTGGGTAAAAGATCTGAAGGTTAGAGAAGTTATGTAACTTGCTCCATGTCCTGCAGTTAGCGTTAGAGACGACATTTAATCACAGAACACCTGACGTTAGGACCTACAGTTTTACACATTATACAGTGTTTCCAAATGTATAATATGCATACCATAGCATTTAAGATAATTTATGTGGTAGATAAACTTTTTAAAAAGTTGCTTATTTAAATGTATACTTTAAAATTCTAGCTTTTAATCTAACCCATGATTTCAAAATGTTTTCAGATGGGATGTGGCTAACGTCCTTAACACAGTGGGCAACCCACATAGGCCGTGTGAATTTCATGGTGGGCCTCAGGCATACCTATTAAAATCCTTAGTAGTTAAACTATTGGAATGTCAGTATAACATAGATTGTTTCATTGCTAAAATGGATTCTCATATACTGAATTTTTGTGTCATTATGACATTCTTTTCAGTCATGAAGCTATGTATCATTTTAAATTGCAAAATTGCAATTGGAACTGTACACTCATTGATTTCCTTTTCTCTTGAAACTATCACGAATCTGTGCTTTATAAATAAGTCTTTTAAAGCATAATGCTGAAGATGCTGATGGAAATGTAGGTGTGATGGTGATTGCGATGAAATCAGTCACATGCTTTCAGAATAGCAGGAAGACCAAATGGATGAAACACCTGAAACCACATGTTACTGTTGTAAAACAACAGCTGCAAAGGAAACAAAAATATCATGCAAGTATAATGGAAATTATTTGAAAGTTGGATTGGAGTGGACTAACAATGAGCATAAGCTTCTCCCATTAGGTATAGTGTGTTTGGGGATACTCAAAGTTCTGGCAAGAAGGCATTTTATCTCAAACATAAATTTTGAAATGTACAAATATTATCATGGGAAGTATTGGATTTTATTTTATTTTTATTTTTTTTGCTGAGGAAGATTAGCCCTGAGCTAACATCTGTGCCAATCTTCCTCTGTTTGTATGTGGGTTGCCACCACAGCATAGCCGACGAGTGGTGTAGATCTATACGTGGGATCCAAACTGTGAACCCTGGCTGCTGAAGCGGAGTGTGCCAAACTCAACCACTATGCCACGGGGCCAGCCCTGGGAAGTGTTGAATTTCTTAAAGCAAAGCAGAAAGATATTCAAATAACTCAGAAATATCAGTGCAGGGTGGTAAGAGATGAAACTGCAAAAGTTGCAGAAGTCTTGTTTATAGTGTTAGTTCAATTGCCAAGGTTAGAGCTGCTTAAGTAATTGCTGACACCTCATTACTGTTTGGCTGCCCAACAGTCAAGTGAAGCTCTTTGGGACAAAGCAAGGGAAAAAAATCTAATGGGGCAGCTCTGTCAAGTACAATAATTTATCAAACAATGACAGCTATGGCCCAAATGTAGAGCAGCATTTATTATGCTGAGTACAAAAAAGTCCATAGTGTTCCCCGGGGACTCTAAGATGAATTCCCTGATATTAGCAACTCAGCTGGGCATATATAAGCTGAGTAAAGGAGCCCAGGAAGATGTGTTGTTTGACCAATATTTATTCATGCTTACAACTGGAGAAGAGATTTTAAAATCATCGATACCTTCAAGATAAACAATTACACGCAAGTGATGTATTGGGTTATGCACAGATGGTGCTAAGGCAGTGGTATCCAATAAGAATGACTGTTCCATGTATTCAAGCTGTTGTACTGGAAACAAGATCTACTCACTATTTCGCACATGGGGGAAGCTCTCACCACTAGAGACGTTTTTAAAAATTTAAGAAAAGAACCTAATGAAGCTATAAATATGGTCAACTGCATTAAGGACAAGCAAATTGAATTCTCTACTTTTTCTCAGCTTTGAGAAAATAGCAGCATTGATTCCAATTACTGTTTTCTGCAGTAACGTGAAGAAAAACTTCATGTCTTTGGTGATAAAATCTACACAATGAATAAGAACATATGCATAATTTGCATTGGTTTTGCAAATCAGCATATTCATAATATTTTCTCTCCTTTCAAGGTAAGCAAACTTCCGTTATTTTGCCACATGAAATTGAAAAGGGAGATGATGGTTGCAGATTTGAATCTAGATGTGAAGCTAAAGTTACTTATGAATTTTATCGTACTGTGATTTATGAATATGGTTCATATTAAGTTTACTTCAGGATATTTGTCACAGTTGTTTGGGGGTTATTACATATGGCCAATATTATGTAAATTTTTCAGAGACACTGGAAAAATGGTGAACCCTCTCTGTAGGGTACAGAACTCATGATCTGACTATTAAATAAACTTTATTAATGATATTACTCATGTCCTCTATATCCTTGTTCACTTTTATCTGCTTCTTCTTTTAAAGACTAGAGAGTCATAGTAAAATTTCCCATTAACTTTCAGTTTTTTCTGTCTTTTTTAGTTTTGCTCCATAAATATTTTGTTACTAAGTTATTTAGCATTTTACGGTTATGACAATTATACTTGCATCATAGACTGTAGCCATCTTTATAACAAGTTAAACTTTTTGTTCCATAAATAAATAAATATTGTCCAACGTTTTCCTTTCATTCACTTGAGTTGCTTTTGTCTTATTACACGTATCTCTTGTAGATCTTTTGTGTGTAGTGTACAGACTTTCATTTTTTGACCGTATTTTGGGAATCTCTTTATTTCAATAATTTATCCCGTTCATTTTTATTGTCATTATTTACAGACTAGTCTTCCTTCCACTCCTTCTCTTTCTCTGTTACTTTGCTTTCATCCTTTAATTTTATTTGCTTCTTACTGTTTCTTTGTTTTATTTTCTTTTAACTGCATTATCTGAGATTTCTTTTATTTATTTTGTTTTCTAGTAATTTTAAGGTATAAGGTTTATATTTAGACAATCAACCGTTAAATATTTTTGAAAAAATTCTTAAATGTTTGTTTTCTAAGTTATTATTTCAAAAATTAATCAGCTGTGCTCATGATCCCATGACATCCTACCTTCTCAGACTAGTGATGCTATTTATTTCCACCTTTTAAAAAAATGTTACTTATTGTCACTCTCTCTTCAAATGTATAATTCTTATCAGCTTTTAAGTACGTTCAAATCTCACTCATAAAAATAACTTTCTTTCCTTGACCACACATCTCTCTTACCACTGCTTCATCTCTCCTCACTACCAGACATCTCCAAAGAATTGCTGATCCCAGCTGTATCCATTTCTCACCTCCCTGGGCTACTACCAAATCACTTCCCCCATTTTTTTCCTACCTCTTAGAAGCTGGTTATCAAGTCTCTTTTACAATGTCATACTGCTCCACTAGGCTTTGATATGCTGTAGCTCCTCAAGGCTTGCTCCTAGGTCCCTTATCTCCTCTCTCTGGGACATCCATGCCAAGAGTTTCAAATGACACTATGTGCAGATGACTTGCAAACACATATCTCTAGTCCCAGACCTCCCTGCTGAGACTCCAGATCCTTATTGCAACTGCCTTCTTGACATCTCTAGGACATGTCAAAAGGACGTTAAAAACAGTGTGTCTATAACTGAATTCTTGATTCTCCTACCTGAACCAACTTATTCTCTCATCCCCTGCATAAAGAGAGCCAGGAGAAAGCCAAGAGTGAGTGATGGGAAGAGTAGTAGGAAGTGAGACTGGAGAGGTGGCTCGGGGACTGATCATGACTAGGCTTGGAGGTCACGGCAAGAACTTTGAATTTTACTTTGAGATGCAAAGCCATCCGAGACTTTTGAATACAAAGGTAATAAGATTTGTATTTTAAAGGATTCCTCCCTCAATGGAGAGGATACACAAGAATGGAACAGGGAGACCAGTTAGAAGCCTATTGTGGAGGTTTGGATGACAGAAAAAGAGGCTTGCAAGAGGATAGTAGCAGTGGAAGAGATTAGATGTGGTCAGATTCTAATAATTTTCACAGTAAAGTAAGCAATATTTGTTGGTGGGTTAGATGTAGAGTATAAGATAAAGAGAAGAGTCCAGGACAGTTCCTGGGCTTTTAGTGTCATGCTCTGATGAGAGGATCTTAGGGAGAAGGAGACATGTTGGGGGGAACTGGAATTAGAGTTAGTTTAAAACCTGATGGTCTAAGATACTCCTAAGACATAAGGTGAAGACATTGAGTGGGCAGTGGGATTCACCAGTTGAGTTCAGAGTAGAGGTCAGAGCTGCTGCTATAAATCTGGAAATCATCAGCATATAGATGATCTTGAAAACCACCTAGGGGGTTAGAAATAGGGCCTCGGTTGTCTAGAAGTGATTCTGAGCACTGAGGAAGATCTTTCAGATTAGAGGGGGAGCCTATTTAGTCACACTCCTTAAAGAACTCTAGAGCAACATGGAAAGGGAGGCAGGTGAATGTACCTGTGCTAAGCTGGACCTGGGGTTTTCTGCCATAAGGGTTTCTAGGGCCACAGCAGGTCTGTCCACAGCAAACCTTACTGCTCTGTTAAAGGTCACCTTCCAAGGCTTAATTCAAGCCTCATCTGCTTGTGAAGTCATTCCAGTCACTGTTACTCTGCTTGTACCCTGTAGAACTCCCTCTTATACCCTATAAATGCCCCAAATGTAACAATCATCACATTTTATCCCACTCATTTCTTTACATGTCTTTCTCTCTCACTAGACTTTGAGCTGATGGAGGGCTGGGGTACCACGTCTAATTGTTATTGATGTCCCTACACCATTTCAGGTACATAAAAGATGCTTAATAATATTGTTTTATATTAATGGGTAATATTCAAAATCTTCAACTGAACAAGCAATGAACAATCTGAACAGATGTTGAACTGATTGTAAGAAAGACCATACTGGTACATACCAGCTGAATATCAACTCAGCGAAATTTGCTTTATTTTCATTCATCCCTTCTTTCTTTATTGTTTTGATCTTTTTGGATCTGGTAAAATAATATATAACCAAATGATTTTATAGTAAATACATAGTTCTTTTCAAAACCCAATTTTCTAAAACAGTACTGGTCTACACTCCTACTGTGTCAAGTTCCACGATAAGATCTTACCAGAATTTCTATTAATACATGTTCCAAATTACTTAAAAGAGAACTGTTTTTTTGAATTGGTGGCTTTGACATTCTGTATGTAATTCTATATCAGATGAAGTCCTGACACATCAACTGGATTACTGAAAGCAATGAAATTATAAGCCTTTTATTGAGAGATTATTTATATAGCAGCCAGAACTATCTTAACCCTTAATAAATGTTAAGTAAAAATACGCTGTCAGTTTATGTCCCACATTATGCAAGGCTAGAAACCAATCTATACGACCAAAGTAACCATGGATGCGGATAGGAAAAGAGGTAAACTGCTCAAAGAAGATGCCTGTTTTTGATTTTGTGATGCTCTTCTTCTTCTGAAGATTCTTAACTAAATAAGAGTTAAGTTGAAACAAAAGTAACATATGGTATTTTTTGTGATCCCCAAAGAAAGTATATAGATATAGGTTTTAGCCACCACATTATAAGACAGTTTTAGAATTTCAGCATGTAGGACCACAAATCATCTCAAATGCTACATAGTCTGTAGAAAGTATTTACAATAAGCCAATGTCCCTAGAATAAAAGAGAGCATTTAACGTGGCAGACCATGATGGAGGGGAGGCAATAAAAGAGAAAGCACAGCTTGAAGTGCAGTATAACTGGGTGACTTACACCTCCCTGCTGAAGGCAGCAGACTTGCAGTTATGGAACTGCTAATCTGTTCTACTGTTTTTTAATCAGATGTTGGCATTATCTGCCACTAATTGCTTTTTCATTTCCACTTGTAATTATTCCATTGCGTGTTTGTAGTGAGAAGCTGAAAATGAGGCAGATCACTGAGAAAGAATTAATTGTTAATGAATAATCATCAGTAGGAAGCCAATTTCATTATCTTCAAAGAGGTAGCCAGAGATTAACCACTAGCTGTGGTTCTCCTACTTTCTGTGCATGACTGTAAAGTAATCACAAATAATCACGCCCTCCAACTTCATCAATTATTTTCTATTATGTGGATTGATACCCATTTTTATCTTTGTTGTTTAATGATAATGGCAGTATTCATGCTGGGGAGTGCTAATTGGAAGGTGTTACATTCAGTGGGCTCTAGGCCTAATTATTAGAGCATCTTCTTCATTAGCACATGATCCTACAAGGGTCGCATGGCGGGAGTTACCAATTTTTCCAAGTTACAAGAATATCTTATTAGGAAACTTTTGCATGTCCTTATGCCAAGAAACACACAGAAAATCTTAGATCTGGTCACCGTTGTGTAGTTATCAACAGAGACTTTCTGTTTAAATAAATAAAGTAGGATGTTTTAACCTAATATGAGTCTTTGAACAGGAAGCCGCTCCTGCCTTGGAAGCTGGGTCTTCCCAGGACTGTTGATGAGCTTTCGCTTCTGCTTTGTTTCTGCAATTTACCATTTCAGAACGGCTCGCACAGCCTCCTGGGATTATTACAGCTCTCAGTGGAGCTTTGTCAGCTATTAATGGAGACATCATGGATGAATTTGAATGTCAGTGGGGAAGGGTCTTAATGCCTTGGTGGTCAAGTGATGTCACTCCACACAGACTTAGGGAGAAGGTAAATATATATAGCCCTACTTCACAGTTTCAGAGGGCTGCAAAACTTCTCAGGACTCCTTCACGTGTATTGGCTCACAGTGTCCTTTAACACAGCAGTAAGTTTTGTTGCTGATAGACCTGCTGTGGCCCCAGAAGCTCCTATGGCACACAACCCCAGGTCCAGCTTAGCACAGGTACATTCACCCGTCTCCCTTTCCATGATGCTCTAGAGTTCTTTAAGGAGTGTGACTAAATAGGCTCCCCATCTAATCTGAAAGAACTTCCTCAGTGCTCAGAATCACTCACAGACAACCAAGGCCCTATTTCTAACTAAACCTGAAGCTAAAGAAATGCATAAAATGCAGCAATCTCAACATATTGGACTACAGAACATGTTTTTGAAACATCTCCAGGAAAGAAACTTGCAAAAGAGAGAAAAATTGGGTGTAGTTAAAAGAGAGTGGGTTTTGGTGTTAGTTCTACGCATATTGTTAGCTGTATGAGCTAATATAAATTATTTAACCTCTTCAAATCTCAGTTTCTTTCATGACATTGTTCTAAAGATGAAAGAGGTATTATAAGAAAAGTGCTAAACTCAGGGCCTGACTCCTAATCAGCACTTGCCTCGGTTAGGAGCTGATCATGAAGAACCTTAGCTGTCTGAATAATAGTTTGTTTTCTGGAAATGAAATGCAAGTTTCTGAGAATATTAGGCAAGTAACCCCAAGTTCTGCACGAGGCAAATCCTGAAAAGTCAATGACTTAGTATAGGAGAGTTTATTTCTTGCTCAAGAAAAGTCAGCTGTGAGGTGGTCCTATCTTTCCTCTATCCAGTGAGTCGAGCATCCAGGCTCCCTCCATCTAATGATGCTGCCATCTGAAGACATGGCTTCCAAGACCATCAAAGAAGGGAAAAAGAGAGGCATACTATGGCAGAGGCATACTGGTTCTCATGTTCCATCACTGGAGATGATGTTTTGTGTTAATTCATGTTTCTATATGCCAGAATTCATTCACATGGTTCCAATCTAGTGGCCGGGAAATATGGTCCTTCTTTGTGCCTGGGAAGAAGACATGGTGTGGTAAACACAGCATTGTGTCTGCTATGGTGTGCAAAGAGTGAAATAATCAGGAGATTCATTTTAGAAAGATTATTCTGAAAATACATAGAGAAGGTTGGAAGCAGGGAAAAGACTAGAATCCAGGATGCCCATTAGATGAGTATTATAATCACAGGAGCAAAGAGATCATGGAAGCTTGAGAATAGTTTAGAAACTGTGATTACTAATGCCAGACAAGAGAAAGGAGTAAGAAAGATAAAATTCCAAGCTTCAATGGTGGGTCTATGGAGACGTATTAGCAATGTACGAAGACTAGATTTAGAGGATGAGAATGGGGAAAGCATATCAGCTGGTGGTCAAACTAGACTAGGTTATAACTGGTAGCCACTATTACGATCAGAGCAGGCATAGCCATAGAGAAGAAGAAAATACACCTATAAGACACCTGGACATTCCAACGTCTGGGAGAGAGTTTCTAACGTCTTTCTAATTTTTCTTGGTACAGGTACTGGTGAGAGGCACAAAGCCTCCAGGTACGTGAGGAGGGTCTCTGAATTGTTGCTTGGTGAAAATCTTACTTAGAACTTTTCTCTGGAATACAATACTATGATTATTCTTTATACAATGACTTTTACCCAGGCACAAAATAACTTCACATTTCGTGGACAAGAACCAAGGTTCTTGGTTTATCTATTGTTAAATGAGAGGTTAGAAGGAGATGGTGAGAAGTAGGGTAAAGGATATACGTGGTATACACAGATACACCTACATTTTCACAGTGTTTGTAACAGTACATGTGAGAAAAATGATTACCGTGGGATTAACCCAATAGGTTTGCTAACTCGTTAATAGATGAAATTATTTTGGCACTGCTAGATGGCAAGCTGTAAACTGATGCTATAGCATGAAGTGCTTTCTTTTGACTAAGTCATAATAACTAAGACTTCTTGTTTATATGCCTTATTTGTCTGACTTGCCACTGGTCTGACTTGTCTTACTTATATACAACATTTCCTAGGGCATTGACCATGCACTTCAAGATCCTGACCTTATTATGATGTAAGCCTTAGAGCTAGTTTACTGATGCTTGGCTGCTGTTTTCAAAAGTTTTGCCTCTCACACCCTTCTCAGCCACTTGACTAATGCCTTTGATGAGTAAAGCACTCTAGTTTTTCATCTCCAGCCCCACCCTTCTGCTCTACCATGGCTACCACCTACTCATCATTGCAAAGCTAGAAGCTGAAGATTTTATTTTATTTCTTTTGCATGGAACAAGGGATATTCAAGCTGGAAATAGTACAATAGAGACAGATACCAACCTTTGGTAGCAACCTCATTCTGTTAGAGGCTAGACAAGAGAGTATTCTGTCTTTGAGATCATATATGAGCCCTTTGAGTAAAAAGGCATCCTGGAAGTAGGGTATGGGGAATGTTCCAGTCCTAAAGGACATTCTGTTCAATACTCAGAGGTAGGAATCAAATCCAACATGATTTATTTATTGGTATTTAATATTTATGTATAATAATAATGTTACCATAAATTTTAACACTTGTAGCATTTTATTCATTAATTCAGGTGTCTGATATTGTCATAAACATATGAAAATGAAGAAGATACAGTTCTTTCCTTCCAAAACGTAAACTCTTATATATTATCCCTTAGTGGTGGTCCTATTCAGAGTGTTTCATGGGTGAGCAAGAGAAATCCAAGAGATTTTAGAGAACTCTGAGTTTTTTCAGGGATAAAGGTTGTTTAAAAACTAAACAATATAACCAAATATTATAAAATTTTCTCATCTTATAGTTCTGAACTTCAGGATAAAAATCACTAAATTACATTGCTTTCTAAAATAGATTAGTGATAAAAGTAGGTAGGGCTACAATATATGAAAATAAATCTTGATACAATTAAGAAAACTACTAAAAAGCCTGTAGGAGCATTCGTTTTATCAATCAACTCAACCATCATATATGCAATCTTTCCAGCACTTAATACGTTTTCAGTACTTTATTCAAGAAATAAGAGCATATTATCCAACACCAGTTTATATCCTGTACATTTCCATCAGAAGAACTAGGTTCTGAATCAAACATAAAGCTTAGCAAAGAGTCTAGGAATGAAACCATAACAGAGACTGTTCTCAAGTGAAAACTTTATCCCTACAATGCTATTCTCCCATTTTGTCATCTCATATCAATTTTAATATCTTGTCTCATCAGAGAGCGGTTATACTCTGATATGTTCCCTCCTGATGCAAGATGGCAGCTACTAAAATATAGATCACTGCAGAGAATTGCTGGATTTAGAGCCAATTCTTCTAATCGAAAACAACAGCAATGTTAATTTCAGCTTGAGAATGATGGCTTTTGTATGGTGATATAATGGTATAGACTATAATGATGTCAACTACTGCAATAAAATACGCTTCAAATGAGATACCTTTTTTACATTTAGACTAGCGTGACTTCTGTCACATTTCTTTTCTTGGCATGGAAACTGACAATCTATTAAATAAATATTAATCCCTAGCAGTTTTCAAAGCAGGTTCAACCATATCAGGATTTTAAATAACTTCATTAATTGCTTAACTACCTTTCCCCTAAATTCCTGAGGGATCCTTTGATGCTAGTCATTCTAATGAGTTACCAAGTGATTCATGACTTCAACCTGTTATCATGCAAAATACACTTCCAGTTGGAAATCTTTACAGATGGTTTTGCCAGAAAGTAAGTGACCTCTCTAGACTCTTAAGAGGGCAAATTCCATTTATGCAATGTATAAAGAAAAATGATTTTTTTTTTTTTTTACTTTTGTACTCTAAAATGGTATAATGTGTCCAAATATTCAGTTTGGGCAATACATGATCAAATGAGGGATTCTGTTTGAATGGTAAAAGATTATCTGAATTATCTGTGGGTGAATTATCCATCACAATAGGAGTAGCTATTGTTATTGTTAGTTCTTACTTTCCTGTAAGCTTTCATATCACTTCTCCCCTTCCAAAGTAGTTATTGAAAACACGGAATGTTTTATTATTAATCTAGACAAGACATAAGTGAGAAGGTTATTATTTTTCAAAGAACAAGAAGAAATGATTTTTAGAAGTTTATTTTTCAAAAGCTGTGTTTCTGTTTCTCTTCTCTTGAAAGTTAATCAAGCATTGAACATTCTTTATTTTCAATGAAATTGACTTTTATCATGCTAACACATATGCATAATTGTATAAAGTACTGTAAAGCTAATAAGAAGAAGTATCATTCCTGGAGAAGCCTTTCTGGCCCTCCATTCTCTGCTGTGTTCTGGACTGACTACTCTCTAGGAGTGGTGGAGAGCCACCATTTTAGGATTTCCATATGGAATCACCCATTTCCACTTCTGAAAGTTAAATAGAGGAAAAGGGCTGAAAGAAAGTACATCTTTCTTTTAAACTTCTTTTACAGGAAGATATCTTTGAATCTGAGGCCTCATTAGAGATTAAACCTTTTGTTTCTCAGAAAGATAATTGAGGGGTAGTTGCTTAGCTCAAACAATCCTCTTGTTTAAAGCCCCTCTTTTTATGCCCACCTTCAGAACCTCGTGCCTTGAGTTCCTGAGCCTGGCTGGGGTTCTGCAGCATGAATCAATTCACTTTCCTGGGACCTACAGATTTCAACTTTCCATCTTCCTCAAATTGTTGACATCGGCTTCTCTTTTTTTGTTTTCTTTTGTCTTTGTGCATGATGATGATAATTTATTATCATTTTAGGAGTTTTAAGGAATAGAGCAGTGATAACAGATTTGTTGAGTGTGCCATGTTAACTGGTTGTTGACAATTGTCAAGTTTCGTTTTGTTCTCGGGGATCTAGGGAGTCAACAAACAGTAGGTCTAATTTGAACAGAAAATATTTTCAATCTATATGATCGAAATGCGAAGTTTCTTTTTAAATGTTTCCATCATATGGCTCCTCAGAGCCATAGAGATTCCACAGAATTTCCCTGGGGAGCTGCCACGTACAGAAAGGAGGAAAAAATGGCTGTTAGTGGTTAGGACTTTGGTTCCTAACCACCTCCTACCCATAACCTAAGAAGTTCTATTTTTATCTCTTGCAGATACTATATTTTACATATGATTTTAATTGAACAAAGAGTTTCAAAGATATAAAATGTTTGAACCCAGTAAAATCAAAATAGAGCTAAAGGTAGACTATCCAGGTCTCTTGAGAAGGAATGGCTGAGTTGTATGAACTCTGATGCTTCATCACCCTTTATGTGCTGCAATGTTTGTTTTTTCTCTGCTATCGTTTATAGGTCAGCTCTAGAGTAGGCTTCTCTGTCCGCACAGTCACTTTCATTGGAGGGGATCTTTGTACATTAAAGAAGTGTTGAATTGGTGTTGACACAAAGTACTGGTGGACTCCTTCACGTTGCGCAGCTGCTCTAATTTGCGGCTTTCATTTTCTCCTTCTTTTTACTCCTTCTCTGGTCTTCTTCACTTTTATAATAATGTATCCAGAAGTTCATTCTTTTTGCATTAACCGTCCAGCACATTTGTCTGTCGTGGTCAAATAATTCTTTTATTCCACATGGTAAACTTTCAGTCCACATTCCCTATAATCATCAGGTAAGTATTTCTATATATTCTGCACTCTTAAACACCAAAAAGTTCATTTTGCTGGGCACAGAGCCATTTCAAAACTTTATATTTTCAGAAACCTGGATTTTTTCTTATCAGAAGATAATTGGTGACATAGGAAAATAATTGATATAGGTTCTTTATTTCACAGAGAACCAAACCAGAGATAGGGTAACACCTAATTTATTTCACAGAGGAGCACATCTCCCATGCCCTTCTTACTCTTTTTGGGAGTGTTGCCATTGGAGAAAATAAGCAGTTCCCACTCAGAAGCCAGTTCTTTGTCCCTCCCTGGCCAACTTCAGAGTCCATCTGCATGTTAAATCTGAAAGGTAAGGAATTTAATCCTGACTCAGTTGTTGGCTAGCTCTTTTAAATCACGTTTAAAATATACAGTTTCTCAAGTATAGAAAACTTATTAATGGACACATCCCATTTTATGAAGTCCAATATATGAAATGCTTTGAGGTCACCTAATTTTTACGCAAGAAGATCTGTAGGCCATGGAATAGGACCAAATTTTGAAGTATTTGAGATTCAAGGCATGAATTAGGCTCTGCTAAGGGGTCTTCTTCATGCAAGTACATATTCTAGGGGAGAAGCACATATACCAATTGACCATGTTCATAATTGCTATAATACAGTCAAGTGATTCTTGATGTTTTTCTATTCAGCAACACATAAGTTATAAAAGAAAATTGTATGATATTGAAAAGAGATACTTCCAAACAAGCAGGGTGTTTTACTGACATTGTATAACAAATTTTACCCATAGGTTTTTAATTCCTAAGCTACCTTACCCCTGTAAAACACATACTGTTAGGTAGAAGTTCTAGAACGTGTTTTCTTTTTTTCCCAAACACCATAATGAATTCCTCCATGAGTCAAGAACTCCGCCATGCTGCCAGAGAAGAGTATCA